TCGTTTATATCGGAATGGCCTTGATTGCTATCCCAACCATCGTCATCACCTTCATCACAATCTTCCAATGCAAGCCGATTAGCCTGATGTGGGAGGGATGGCTCCTCCCTTACTACGGCAACAAATGTTTCGACATGCACGTCGTGACATTCGTCGCGGCCGGCTTCAACATAGCCCAGGATCTGTTCGTCGTCGTGCTGCCTCTTGTGCCCGTCTGGCGCCTCAAGATGGATACAAGGACAAAATGGGGCGTCATGGTCATGCTTGGGCTGGGAATTTTTATCACTGTCACCTCTTGCGTTCGAGTGCCTTACATCGCCGCATTCGGCCGCACATACAATCCGACATGGGACTACGAAGATGTTCTGATGTGGAGTGGGCTGGAATTGTCCGTCACGATCATTGTCGCCTGCCTCCCGGCGATGGGGGCTTTGATGAAACAGGTGGTGCCCTGGGTCAGCAATGCGGCGAGCGCGTATGGCAAGACCGACGAGGGGAAATCAGGCAGCAGGACACGAGAGCGAACTTTTAATGAAAGCCGAAGCCGACAACCTTACTTTAGGTCGAAGAACAGAGATCAGCCGGGAGAGAGCCAAGAAGAGCTGGGGCTAGAATTAGGGTACACTGCACCACCCGGCGTGAAGACGGAGGTGAGGGGGCATCGAGGGAGCAGCGGCGAGATAATGAAGGATGAATATCTCGTGTCATACAGCCCCGAGCCTACGGTCGAGGATAGAATCAGGGTCGATACTGTTACAACTATCACGACGTCAAATTACTATGGAAGATGATGGAGGGCTTAATCTAATGGTAGTGTGTATTCTTTTTGTCAGGTTGAATAGGATTTTCACTACAAAACTACCACCGGAGTTCAACCTACACAGCAACTGAAAGCCGTAGCTCTTCTTGGGAATTGGATGTGAACACAAGTTCTAAAATCCTTTCAGCGTGTATGCAATACGTCTTTACATTGATGTATGATCACATCAGCCTGCAGCCAGCGGCAAGCGCAGGGACTAGCATCTGGCTAGAAGGATTCGCAGTGCAGATTGCCGCATACATAGCACAAATGTAGCCAAGAAGGGAGGCAAATCAGAGGATCATCGGGCTTGTTTTGGCAATGTGCCTGGATCTGATCAAGCCCGTAACGTTATCTGCCTGGCCGATCAAGCACGAGCCATCATCACGACGACGGAAAACCAGGATCAATATAGCTCAAATACAGATTCAGATCCTATGAATTTGGGTTCATCTGCTGTGCGCGAGTTCGCAGGAAAGCTCCGACGTGCAGTGCACATGGCTGCCACGTAGCATCAGCACCAAGAACCAGAGAATCGACGCCTTTTTTCCCCTGCATGCGAATCAACCTTTATGCAAGGGCTTATTATGCGCGCGTGTGCTTCAAGAGGTCGCAGCAAAGGGTTGCAATTGCGGTGAGGATCCATACGCGTATCCATGCACGATTCAATCTGGAACCGCCGGCGAGCTTGTTACGAGAACGTGTAGCAGTATTCAATAATCCCCAAGGCACAGTCAATGGCTTCGATCCTGATTAGAGCTATCCCGGACAGGGAAGACGACGGCACAAGCTTGAATCCTTTGCGCCGCCCGAACCAGTCGAGATTGTACCGTGGTAGTATACATGTATGCAGGTGCTGCAGCGTAATACCACCAAGACTTTATTGACAGTGGTGGTAAGAAGAGGCAGACAAAAGGCGTCCAGAAAGTGGATTCGCGTATGACTAATGACAACCAGGCAAAAATCTGCCCACAAATTCTGCTCAGCTCTCCCCAAGACAACACTGCCCATCTGCGAAGCCGAGCCCCCTGCCTCCTGTCCGCCTTGCTGGACTTTTATTCCGGAGCCTGATCTTCGGTCAGCATCGAGTCGTAAATGGACAGGGAGCCCGCTCGTTTTCTTCGTCGTTGCATTCACCATAAGCTCATGCGTTGACCAACCAACCGGTCCAGCCTCGACTTACCCACCAATCGCCACCACCAGCCTATAACGGCGCGTATTCATTTACATAAAACACTCTGCAGCCAAGGTCACAGCAGCAAGGCCGAAACTGCACTTTCGAGAGCTAAAAATGGCTCAATCCGGCCCCGCAGATCAAATGATCAACTCCCAGGCGGGGATCAAGTACTGGCAGGAGGCCGACGCCTCTGATAACGGCATGCTTGGGGGTGTGCTTGGGGTTGCCGGCTTTGCTTCCGTATCTAGGATCGACCTGCAAGGGTCCCGAACCTTTCTTGCAAGGCTGGGTATCGGTGCTAAGCGCGGCCGGAATCTGGTCGCGACGGCCCTGGATGCTGGCGCTGGGTGAGTGTCCCTTCTCTCCCCGGCCAATGATCCTTTCCAGGGATCTCTCCCCAACAATGCTTCATAAGCTCGGGTAGAATTCCCCCAGTCTGTACTGACAGTTCACTACGCAGGATTGGCAGAATTACCGAAGGATTGCTCCTCCATGTCGCTGAGCAGGTTGATATCCTCGAGCCCGTGTCTAAATTTACAGACCCTTTGAAAGATAAGGCCGGCGTGCGGCACATATTCAACGTCGGCTTGCAAGCGTGGCAACCCCCCGAGGGTGTAACATACGACTTGATTTGGACGCAATGGTGTCTAGGTCATGTTACGGATGACCAGATGGTGGAGTATCTGGAGATTTGCAAAAGCGTCTTGACGCCGAACTCAGGTGTCATTGTTGTCAAGGAAAATCAAAGCACCAGTGGTGCTGACATGTTCGATGCAACGGATAGTAGTTTGGTCAGGTGAGGCAATCCTCCCATGCCAAGTAGCAGGAGGCCGGCGGATGGGATTCTAAACAAGAACTACTAAGCTAATAATTCAATAGGGAAGATGGCACATTTCTTAGACTGTTCGAACGGGCTGGTCTGAAGTTGATCAAATCGGATATACAACGCGGATTTCCAGAAACCTCCACCAGAAGGCTGTATCCAGTCAAGATGTATGCCCTCAAGCCAGCTTCATAGCCGTTCACAATCTATGTGACTGAAATAAAATATAATAATAATTCCTCGAGTTGTCTGAGCAAGAATGCCTCTCTCTGTGTTCATCATGTTTGTCGTTGATATAGACGATGTTGGCTGAACCAGAGTTCGGTAGACAACTAAGAGAACAGGATCAGGCAATTGCCAGTCCACTCTGACTGAGTTCCGACCTCACAGTTTGCCTTAGTAGCTAAACTTTTGCCCAACCAAATTCTCGCTGAGATTCCACAGCTGCTCTGCTGCCTCCGGATCTTTAGCATGCTCGGCCACAGTGTCATCAACAATGCCACCAGTGATGGTGCAACCGTTTTTGTCTACACATGATGACATTAGCTCATAATTGTAACAGGAACATTTTGATCCTTTTTGCTACGAACCTTTTATCTCTGGGCTGTACGCAGCCACGATGTAACTAGCGACTGATTGTTGAACAGACTTCAAACCTCCCAGCAAGGCAGGGCTTGGGTCGCCATTCTCTAAAAGCCAACCGTGTTTGAGCATCTCCTCCTTCGGAGCCCGGTGGAATAGGTTGGTGATCGAGCCACCGGGATCGACGCCATAGCTCAAGAGCCTTTTATGTCCAAGTCTGTGTGCTAGACCACGAGTAAAGAGAAGATTAGCACACTTGGACTGAGCATAGCCCAACGTTGGATCGTAAGCCTCTCCCTCGCCAAAGTTGTAGTCGTTGAATCGGAAAGGTCCGATGCGGTGAGCTGCCGCCGAGATGTTGACGACACGGCCTGGGCCATCCGACTTCAAGAGTGCCGACATGATGAGGTTGGTGAACAGGAAGTGGCCTAGGTGGTTGATTGCAAGGTGCATCTCAACACCGTCGGCATTTGTGGTGTACTTATGGATCATCATAAGGGCTGCGCTGTTGATCAAGACGTCGACGACTGGGGTTAACTCGAGAACCTTCTTGGCGGCTGCTCGCACAGAGACCTGATCGCTAAGATCAATGATCAGTGGCTCGATCTTAGTTCCGGCAGAGGCGGTGGGCTTGATTTCTTCGATCGTTTTGGCGATGGCGGACTCTGACCTGGAGGCCAAAATGAGCAACTTGGGTTCGTGGGCAGCAATGACTCTTGCTGCGTCGGCTCCAAGACTGCCTGAAGTTACTCCTGTGATAATGACTGGATAGTGTGTGAGCGTGATAAACAAATAAACCGACGAAGGCTATGAGATCTCAACAGGACATACCTGTCTTACCAACCATCTCATTGTGCAGTTCTTCCGCGACGGAGTCTGAGGTTTTGTAGAACGCATCGCCGACTTTATCTTTCTCTCGCACAATATGCTCCCATGCGACGCGGCTATTTGAGTTTTCGTTGGCCATTTTGGTTCTGTTCACAGATCGGCCGTAAGAGTGAGAGATCAACTGTTTCGTACTTTAATGATGATATTGAGTGACTTCTGAGGGGTTTTCCTCATTTTGGTGACTCCTCCATCCAATATTTATACACCAACTTCTGGTCATGGCAACTTACGCCATGAGAGGGCAAACTACACGGGTGTGGCTTCATGACGTGACTTGGATGACGGTGCTGGCGTCAGCAGAAGCAAAGTAGCTCTGGCTGGCGTCAGCACGCATAGCTAACGCCAATGCCTGCAAAAGAAGACGGGAAAAAGGTTGACTTAATAAAAGCAGGGTCAATTAATGTTGAATTGATCATCTACTTCGTGACTGCGTTGCCAGCAGCACGCCGGATGTTGAAACTGGTATAGCGGCGTGCGAATGAAATCAACATCCCGTACATACCTCATTTAAATCTAGGTAATGTTGGGCAACCGGGGTAAATTCAAGCCAGCCAAACAGGTGATGAAAGGAAGTCATCACTTCGGACTTAACTTGTGGATAATCGCCATAATCCCCGAGGGGAGCTTCACCCACTCTCTCTTCCGATCATGGCACAAGGTCAGTGATTCCAACTGCTACAGTCCCGTAGATACAACTTCCCAGTGCAATAATCGGAAGAAAATTTCTTGAGATGAACAACGAAATGAGCATAAATGCACAGAAGATGACGGCCTTGGACCAGGTGCCGGCCCCACCACCATCATCATCAGCATCATCAACAAGTCCGAAGAGGCTGGGTCACGCAGCCACTCTGGGGAAAAGACCCAATAGCGAGATTCGAAAAGAGCAAAACCGTCTCGCAGCTCAAAAGTACCGTGAGTAGTATCGTTACAGAGATTACTATTGGTGCAAGGAATGAATTGCTAAGCGGAACTCTCCCCACAGGGCTTAGGAGAAAGCAGCGGCTCTCTTTACTCAACCAACTCCTTGATGATCCAGAGACGGCGGTAAATCAACCAAACACACCAATTTCGGAATTTTGTTCAGGTTATACACAAACAATTGTAGCTACCGCTGAGCCTACATGTAGTGTCAGGACTCTTCAAGATGTGAATATCCCTGATTTCGGAATAGGATACCTTGATGGGGGCTTTGCTGGCTTTGAAACAAGTGGCAATCAATTCAGCCAGCATTTTCCATCCCAATCAACGGAGGGAATTTTGTCCGAGACAGGTGCCAACCATATTACACCGTATTCGCCCTGGATTTCACTCTCTAATATGTTGGAGCCATCATCTATCCAACAGTCACAGTCCTTAATGTGTAGAATGCCTGCTCCATCTCTACACGAGAACATCCAATGCGGACAGCAAAACAGCCCATCGAGGAATCCAGGTCCTGACGAAAATCCTACAGCAGATCCGGTAGCTACTGTTCTTAGTATCATCAAAGGCTTGCCTTGGTCTCAGAAACGCCAGATATTGAGCACACTACTAGTTGAGGCTGACGATGAGATTGGCAAAAGCACCGAATCCCAGCAAATATCTCAGTCCGTCCCATTCTCATCAGTGGATCACAATGAATCTCCTGACTCACGAAGAATGCTGATTCGGATAAAGAGAGAAGTCCAAATGTTTGAGGCCAAGCTTAGGAATACCCTAGCCTGCCACTCCTCCCTGCCCGACCCAAGAGTGAATTTGATCAGAGTCATCCACTCCAACTTCTACCAGGCTATTCTGGCAAATTCGGAGGCCATCGGCCTCTTCAATTGCGAAGTTCTCAAGGACGACGGTCTTTCGCCGTTTAGCATTGACAAGGAAAAGGGATATCCCCAAAATCAACTTGAGGTCGCTCGCGCTCGGTTTACAGCGCGTGTACCGCCAGGTCTGGCACCATGCGATGCGCAGCTGAAACATGTACATCATCCCTACCTCGATGTCATCCCCTTTCGTGAATTTCGGGAGAGGGCCATGGCCGCATTAGCATGTGACCCCCCTCTGTTTTGCGAGGAGACGATGTGCCATGACATGGATGCCGAGGGTCTGGTATGCTGGGGAGGCTCGCCTGCAGATCAAGAAGGCACGGCAAGACGAGGCATGGAGATGGAAGTGCCATGGGACCCACGTAGCTGGGAGCCGAAGGTATGGTTTCTGCAAAAGTACTGGTTCTTGGTAGGGGGGGAAGATGGAGAAATGCACACCAGTGCGCGGCTTTGGGCTCAACGCAGACTGTGAAGGCGGAATCAGTTCATCTAGTTTACCTAGTAGCACTGCCGGGAACAGTCGGCTAACAAAAAAGTGGTTTCAAGGACGTGAGATGATGTGTCTGCAAATCGTTCAAGGCTGATATTTATGAAGCTGGCAGCTAGCGAATACATCAAGATGTACTTTCCGATGAATGAAGGACGGATGGTGCTACTAAGGCCGCCGTATTTTTAGCTGTGAAATGATCGCTTTCTCAAACTATATATTCCTCGATCCAGGGTTGTTATACGACCAATGCCTATGCAGATATCATTTGGGGTCTAATTAGACCCGGACTCGCTTTAAAACTCTTCAGAGTGCAAAATTATTCTCTCGCGCTTTTATATGACTTATAAATTTAGCGCTTTCTATGCTTTCCGAAACTCAGCTTGATCAGGCGAGGACAAAATGGCGACAGTATTGCGCGGATCTTGAGTGTTTGAGGTCCATATGTCTGCCAAGGGATTATGTAACGTCACTGCTAACAATTAATCTTGGCACATAAAATAAAGGATCTATAGAAGTAAATACCTTTGATATACACAATGACTCAAGTTAGGCTGGCAAATTCTAGTTGCCGCTGCCTGGGAATCGGCTGGGTCGAATTGCCGTAGCAACATATAGTCTATCGAATTTGCATCTTTTTCTTGGGGAGGTATCACCCGGCCGCCCTATTACTATTTCCCGATGTCATCATGGTTTGGCCGCTTTGGCTCTCAGTCGCTTGTGGCCTAGATTGATCTTCTGTTTTAGATCTCGAAGGAAAAGTGTTGGTAATGTGTTGCAGTCGCCACCGCCTCTTAGTAGCCTGCTGGCCACCCTCGGGAGTTATGATGAATCCTCGACCGATAATCGGTATATGCTTGATCAAGGGCGCCAATGCAGGTGCTGATCCAGCAATGATGCCGGTTCCCGATTCGACGATCGACCAGATTGCGATAAATGCAATCCCGTAATAATAGTTGGTCGTATTTTCGTATGCGATGACATACTGGAAGCGTACGAGATTTCCAGTACTTGCTCTGTCGGAAACCGAGAAGGTATCAGTACAAACGGGCTCAGGGTATTCAAAGATGCATAGATGAACGTACAAGACACCCAGCGCCAGGACAACTCCAACCGAAATCTTCATCAACCATCTCATTTGACTGTTCCAGAGGATGAATATGGGCATGATGGCACACGACCAGTCGGACACAATGCATGAGGCGGAGATGAAATATCCTAATCTCGTAAGAACTTCTGGTGGACCGCAGTGACCCGGCAGGTTAACGTTCCATGTTCTGGCTACTGGAGTGCACAGGGCCAGGATCCCAACAATGGTGGCAAATGCAGAGAGGGTGCTAAAGATGATGACGCCGTATAGAATATAACGGTAGATGGCGAAAGGAGTGAGTCGTATCAACATGATGCAGATGGAGGATTTGATCGGAACGGTGGTGGCACAGTAGAAGACTTGGAAGAGGAAAAACCACTGCTAACCGTCAGATATCGCTGGATGACACACTGCTCCGAGAATGGAAACATACCTTCCGCCCCTCCTGTTTCGTTTCTGCCGATGTTTGGTTATCATATGCCCCTATACCATTGTATGCCGACATGATGGTCGTCGTACAGACAACTGAGAAAAGAACCTTGCGCACTGTCAATTGAATAACCCAACGCGATTTAGGAGGGCAGACATACCAACCCCCCGACCATACACCAATCATCTGCACCAACACATTTCCTCGAGATACGCACCGACATACGAAGGATAACAATAAGCCATGTCAGTACAAGAAAGGCAATCGAAATATCGCGAAGTGTTCGACCAGCCCCGTCGGGTGGATCGAGCATGCCGCCCAATTTGACGTACACCGACGTATATCCACTGTGAGAGCGATGAATCTCGGAGGGGATGGAGATGCAGCAAGTTAGCAAAGGGCGACGCGACCTGGTGGGACCTGGGGAACAACAGAAGAAAATACAACATCGAAAAAATCTGATTCAGGTTGGGGTCACGTCTGACCTTATAGTGGTGCAGATCGAATTCGCTTTGCTTTTGCTCGACACCTGAACGGCACCGTTAGCGCAGCCACAAGCTGCGCTCGAGCCTTTTGGTACCAACAACCTGGTCTCACATGAAATCAGGGGGCTGAGGATACAATTTACGAGGGATGGGATGAAAGAGGGGTCTGAGAGGTCTGAGATACTGTTTCATTGGATGTTGAAGGCTATTAGACACACCTCTTGCTTTAATCTTGACGTCACGCATACCGGACCGACGACTCCTCCCACCCTCGATAAAGGCCTGGAACTAATAATCACACCACGAAATGACTCGGACGAGCTAGGCCCATTTGGGGAGGAAGTGAATCATTTATAAACTCTGCTGTGTCTCTCGAAGGCAAATAAATTCGGACTCTTCACCCTTCTCAAGTGAATGAAATCCATAGACGCGATAGCCAGCTTGTCTACACAGATCTTCACCCTCGGCGTCGAAATAATAATCGTACTGCTGATAATATTATATCTAATAATCAGTGGGAGTCCCGATTTGGCCGGTATTGATAGTTGGGTTGTCCCAAGCCCTTGAGCGGACCAGCAAGTCTTGACGGACTCGCCTGTCATAGACAGTCAAGATGACATGAAAGATTCGCGCTCAAGCTTTGTGCTTATTCATCTATAAAGTCAGATTTACCAGTGCTTCCTCACCCTTGGGGGCCACGATCTCGCAACTGTGCACAAGATTCGGAGCATTCAAACTCTGATGCCTCAACCGCCCCGGCTTACCGGGACCAGAGTTGGCCGATCTAGCCCCCACCCCAATCGACATACGCACTCTTGCAAGAGCTTGCATTTCATCATTTCAAGATCTTCAGAAACCAGTATCTACGTGAAGTACTTTCTATGCAGAAGCCAGATGAAGGGAACAGCTATGACAAGAGATGAAACGCCACCAATAGTAGCGCTGACGATAATTCGGATATTGTTAGACCTCCTTTCATAGGTGGGGTAGAAATCATGAGATAGCACTCACCGCCACTCATGCGTTGACATATGACATTTGACTAGATCAGGCGTGGACTTTCAAATTTTCCAAGTCGGCACCGCTCTTCGAAACCCGGCCGATAAAACAGCCAACTTCATCACACAAAACACTGTCAGTGTCTTGACTAGCTGGAGTACTGAGAAAAATCTAGGTTTGATGGCTATATCGGGATTCAAGTACCACTTCCTTGCCCATCGGCTTCCACCATCAAGAGCTCGGCGAAAACCCAACAGCAGGATATTAAAGCCTTGATCGCCACCCCATTTGCACAGGGATTTACCTTCAGTGACATCCCAGATACCATGCTTGTCCATGGAGTAGATGCACTTAGTTTAGGCTGAATGGCATTGGTCGCGCAGTCTTCGCTCGAAGGGATGGAAAGACTCTGATTAAATGGCGGGAAAGATTGAAATTTTTACTAATGGGAAGCACTAAGGTAAATTTATTTGACCAAAAATAACTAGTGGCCTCGTGTTCTGTCCCCATCCCAGTTGATATGCTTCCTCCCTCGATATACAAGTAGTCTCCAAACACCGTAACTAATACAGTACTTACGCAAGTCAACATGGCCAAATGCTGTAATTTCATGGTACTGTGATCGCTCCCCTACTAACTCCTAATGCCATACCATCTTCACGAACCTCTCCTTCGACGTTTGGCTAAGTAAGCGTAGCCAGCATCTTGATCTACTCCTGCTTGGGTCTTTGCCCAACGATGCGCGACATTGCCATCCCCATCCGATGACCCTGATTGAGCTCCGCGAGCAGCCCATGGATAGTCTTCTCGACATCATCCTCAGTCTTAATAGCCTCAAACCCTCCCTTTTCGACCATCCCCATCAATGATTGCCGAGCCACGCGAATAGTGACCATGCCCCCAGTTTCTTTTCCACCACCTACCTTGAACATGCTGAAGATGTTCTCGCTGCAGTTGACAAAACCCTCATTTTCAAATAGCGATTTCAAATTTAGCGGCATTCTACAAGGCTGTTAGTCGTTCGTGTTTCGAAACGTGGTCAAGTTCTGCACTTACAATGTGTCTCGGCCCACGTGTGTCGCGTATCTGAAATCAAGTCCAAGAAAGCTTGCAAAATTTGGACCCATGGGAAGGGAGGTCCATGAATTGTAGCCGGTATCTTCCCACACTAGCCAGCCTCCCGGCTTGAGCAGGTCTCTGACATGTTTCGTGGCGAGTTGCAACTCGTCTCTCCGGAAAGAATACATCATGAGGCGGATGTGGACCACGTCATAAGTACCGTGTAAATGGTCGGGAAATGGCTGCAAAGCGTCGGCAAAGTGAAATTTGATGTTTGAAGGGACGGTATCTTCAGCAGGAAATTTGGACGTATCGTAGTCGTAGCCGTCTAAGCGAGCCGAGCTGGGTAGCTGGCGGGCTAGATCTCGAAGCCAGACGCCTGTCCCAGTTGCAACGTCGGCAATTGCGAGTGAATCAGCCGATTTTAACTGAACTTCTAAATCAACGGGGAGCAATTTGCCCTCGAAAACAGCTTTAAAGATGTCGTATTGCCAGTCGAGCCTATCCCTCTCTTCCTTCACATCTCCGCTGTTCAGAGTGTACACTGAGGGGGCCATTGTGAAAATTGTAAAATACGAGTGTCAAGTAAATGGGCTGAGATGATTTAGTTTTGTTGCGTAGCAGCAATAAATATATAACAGACTTTGTATGGCTCAATCGTACTCCTGGAGAATCAGCTGGCGTTTTAATTTGACTCGGGTCGTACAATCCTTTTCCTCGTAGGGTTGAACAGGTCCAGTAGATGACTAGGATTGTGTGCTTCAGCTGAAAGACTAGGTACCGAGGCAGGTTGCGATTCCAAATTCAGCGCCACGCATGAGCTGAAATGTGACGTGGGGCCAATCATTGGTCTTATATCATTCTTCTAGAACGGAGCCAGCTCTCACTCTACGCATGTGCTACCCTATTTCGGAAATTTCTTCAACTACCGACGTCGAATCCAATAAATCTACGGGACGGCCGCGTGCTCACTCGATGTCGATGTCTTGCCACCGCTTCTACCCTCGCACTATCTAGCAGGCCTCCCAGCCAACTATTGGAAGCTTCTGCACATCCAGTCTATTAACGGAAGTTGACAAGTCACTTTCTACACGGGCATTTCCGTTTACACCTGCTGAATCATGTGAATCTACCAGGCCACCAAATGCCAAGAATTCGACCGGGCAAACAAGTCCGTTCAAGTCCCAACACTACGTCACTACCTGCTGTATCTCCAACTATTGCAAGTCAATAGGCATACAGATACACGTTCGTTGTGGCTTCAATAGTGCAGTTGGTGTTCTCGTGAGTCGCGAAACATGTTACTCTACGCCATTCCCTTCTGGATCTTCTTCCTAGGGGAGATTCAGTGTCATTGTGAACCGAAGACAAACACTTGCGCTCCTCTCGTGGCTAAACTCTAGAACTCTTTACCTGGAGGGCCCTTGTGTCATATTTTCAAGCTCACTGTTCCGCCGCTACCGTTGTTGTTTCGATGACGTACAAGAATCATGTTGTGACACACCGCTAAGCAGGATGGCTGACTGTGTTCAAGACATGGCTGACACTCATGAACAAATAGTCGTTTTTAGTACAGGCAGAGACACTAGACTGTCTGGTACTCCGACCACAAATCTACAGCCTTTCTTCTTTAAGCTATATGAACACAAATTAATATTTACCGAGTTTCGATGAACGAGATTACGGAGATGCATGTTTGCCCTGATTAGCCACTAGGTAGGTACTATATGATACAGTATATTCTTCTCCTCTATTCTTAGTCTAAAAGGAGGGAAATCATCGTTATGTTCATCGTTCTGCTCATAGGTTCATCCCTCGACATACATCAGTCGGGCGACAGAGCCGACAGAGATGTGTCCCATGACATGTTTAAGATCTATTTGATCCTTGCATCCCAGCGCGTTTTTGTTGGGTCTCGAACGGTCTAAACTGGTCAGAAGCTCGATGTCGCTAGTAGTTCACTAGTTGAGCCTGTGTGTTACCACCCCTAAGACAGTCGGGCGGAGACTGTCTCACAGATCGCAGGGTATTCCCCAGTCTTTGCTGGTGGAGCGAATCTCATGGCAACCCCAACCGGAAATCCTATGATCTGCTTTCCAAACCAACCAGATTTCGCACTGCTAAAGCGTACTGTTCGACGCAATATGTTGTCTCTCATTTCCGACAGGCTTACGGCTGATGCTGGGATCTCTTGATAGAACTGATAGTTTTCCAAGACTCCTCGTATCAAGACCCGGTATGCCCAGTAAATGGACATAAGGTGAGACGCCGCCAATCCAGTGGCGTCTTGGGCCTCCTCCCCGATCATGAGGTGCTGGCTAGCTTGTTCATGCCAGTTTTTAAGATGTTCTTCACATTGGAGCAAACGTGCTGCCAATGTTTGCATATTTACAATGTGCTGCTCACCATCATAGGTTGATGTAGTATGGTCGAGGGTCTCGAGAAGTTCTGGAACCTCGAGGATTATGTCTATCAGCTTGTCTTTCTCTGTCTTCCGAATGCGCCACCACGGTACAGTCTTCCAAGCACGATCATTGAAAAAGCACTTTTTCCTTGCGAATGTACTCTGGAATACCTGGGTATTATTAGCCAAAGTTGAAGGTCAATGATCATGCCAAGATTAAAAAGTACCGAGCGTAGGCGCCCATCACATAAGAGGTCATGAGCATCCCTGTTGATATAGTTTTCCGGTTTCGTAAGCATCATGATGGCCTCTTCTCCGGACACATGTCCCGACCAATCTTGATAACGTTTCGCCAGGTCACCGTCCCCAAATAAGACCTAAATTCCGGATTAGTGGGCTCATTAGACGATTAACATTTTCATTGAGCCGCATATATCTCACCTCAAATAACGAGAGTATTCTTGAAGTCATTATGATAGCATTTTGATTCTTTCTGTGAAGATTCTTCACAGAAGACGCCATGCCTTGAAGTGCAGCGCCATAAAGCTTCCTACCCTCGTGTATCATCCAGCCCTTTCCCAGTTCTTGACCGATGGTATTCAAGCTGATGGCGCCTAATGCCAGTTTGAGGGCTCCGTCATAATGGACCCATTTTTGGGCAAGCAACGCCCAGCCAGCTATAGAGTACTGACGGGCCTCGGGTGTAAAGTTGCGACTGTCTGGGAGGTACATCTCCCAGAACACATCAACATATTTGAGTTCGAGCACTGGATCATTAAGTAGTTTCGAGTCCGACATGTCTCTCTCGGCTAAACGCTTGTTGGCCGCCTCAACATACTTAGCTTTTGAATATCTCATTTGCGAGAACCTCTCATCTCCACTATTCGTGGTATCCAGTACAGTGCTGTTTATAAACGGATGCCGTTGCCAGTATCCGCCGCACACCATCCCTGAGCGCTCACATTGCACACAGGTCGGGCGACGCCTGTCACACTGCATCTCTATTTAGACCCTCTTTCACGTTTATCAGAATAACTTCATACTGACTCCTTTCTTCCGCGATCTGCAGGTATGGCATGCACCACTCCGGCTAGGAACCCCAACCATTGTCAATAGGACATCACACAACCCCCTGTTCTCAAAAGGGCTTTGAACCTGATAAAGATATTGAGAAGAAGCCTCTGCTACGCGATTCGAAGAGCCGATGAGATGAAAGAGGCCGTGGGTATGTGTAGTGGTTACGGGGGGGCCATGGACGCTGGTAGCACAAGGTCGTGGATGGCAAAGGAACAATTTTGAAAGTAGATTCGCGGTCAGCTTAGGAGAGACTCATCCCTCCGTTACAAGCACAGCCGAATCCGTAAATAGACAAGGATCGCGCAATAAACGAACGCTATACCCGAATAAGAGACATAATGCGCGCTCAGCAGTGGATCTATTTCAGGGGTCTGTGATCTGGCCTCCGACTACCCGAGATCACCATTGATCATCTCCTCCCTCTCCTCTCTCTCTACATCTCAAGAGGAGAGGATGCTGAAAGGTAAGGGGAGAAACACAGAGAATCGCTTTACGCGTTGTTCTTCCAAATCTCCTCGAGTATCTTAGCAACCTCCTCGGGAACCTTTCTGAACGGTGCATGACCGGATTTCAACCGGTGCACTAAGTCAAAGCTCCCATTCTTGACCAACAATTCTTGCCACGATGCCGGGATGGCTTGATCATCTTCACATAGCAAATACGTCTTGGGAATCTTGAGGTCATTCTCCACGTAGCGCGGGAAAACGGTGAAGCTTTTCCAAGTCTGCTTCTTGAGTAGTGCGCCAAATGCCTCTTTGCCTTTCTCCTCAGGTAGGTCGCTATACCAAAGGGCACGGGCTTCGTCTGTTACTGTCACGATGCCGTCCTACGTAATATTAGAAAATGATGTTATGCAAGTGTATGAAGATGCGATATTGTGTGTAGGTAGGAAGAACTGGGCATGATGGCCACTGACCTTGATCCGATGATACGGCGTTGGTTGGAACTCAGTATCATCTCCCATTAAACTCTTGTTTCGAAGAGGGTACACGACTGCGCAGGCGGCCACGTAAGATATGATGCCACCGGAAAGACCTCGAGCGGCTCGCTCCTCGCACGTCTGGCCCTCGATACTGGCAACGGCGGGCAAACCACCGTAGCTGTGGGAGAGAATGATGGCCTTCCTGCCTTGGTCAAGGAGGGGAAGCAGCTGGGCATGAATGTTCTTGACATCATCAACATATGTCAGCTCCTTGTCGAGAGTTTCCGAGTCACTGGCCACTGCGAGTGGTGGTGTGAGCACTTCGAATCCCCGCTGCTGGAGAAGCTGCACAAAATTGGAGTATGCATTTGGTCGGTGCAGAGCTCCCGGCACAATGGCGATGAGTGGTTTGGAAGCCGTCATATTGTGTATAGTGAAGGCCTGAAGGCTTCTAAAGTTTGTTTAAAGACTGGTGGTATCGCTGTAGGTGAAAGGAAAGAATTTTGAGACCTGTGCCTGGGGCCTGGAAGGCCTTTTATAGGCGAATACTCCGGACCCGAAGCACATTAATACCCCCGCATGTAAAAAAAATTGATTCGGGAGTTAGAGGTTTGTAATCCTAGCTTCCATTCAAGGCTAAGAGCTTTGTGGGATTCAAACTAAAGTTGTATGCAACAGAAGCGTATAATTTAGACCCATTCCAGAGATAAACGGACAAGAAAGCTAATGAGCCCTTCCGCTGCCAAGGACGTATTAACTCATACATACCAACTTTGCTGGCCAGGACTTCAAGGCTTTATCTCTTTGCTTGGAGTTTAGATTTGTACCTTTGCTCAATAAGAGCTTCGTAGCTTCTTCACGACCCTCTACAATATCTCGCACTTGGCGCGTTTTTTTTTTCAGGTCAGCTTATGTTCCAGAGAATGACTAGATTTTCATGGATGGCCATCAAAAATCTACCCAGTGCCTGTTGGGGGCCTTAAATGCGGATCATTTTACGATTGACTGAGATATACGTACATAGGGATCCCATTGTCACCACTGCGTCTCAACAAGCCCGTCAACGATCATCTCGATTTGTTCCCAACGTTTCCAAAGCAACGTTTTTTGCGACTCTTTCCCTTCTGAAAGCTTGCGAATTCTGATTTTTTTCTCCGCAATGTTATCCTTGTACTCATTTAATAGCTCAGGTAACAGCGCGATTCCCTTTGCAAGAGAGCCACCGGTGTCCTCGTCGCCGTCCTCGAATTTCTGCCAATTGAAGACATCGGAACAAAGAACCCCTAATGCGATGAAAATAGGGTCGTTCTTCTTTGATCCATTATGAAGCATGAATTCTGCCGAGTATCCTTTTTCCTTCAATGCAGAATTCTGTGTGGCACTTAACTTGGGAATGATCAGATCATCAAGACAGATCTTGTCCCATGGATTGTGTTCCAGGACAAAACCGTACTCAGCCAGTAGGAAATCATTCGTATGATCCCCGTAGGAGGTAAATATTTCCTCACCCGCATCATAATGTCGATCTGTCGTTATCGTATAACCCTCATCTCGAAATGAGACTTCGCAACCATTGGCGCTATGATTGAATAGATCTGCAACAGGCAGTAGTGACAATCGGTCATGCATAGGATATAATGTCATTTCTGGCGAGTCGAAAAAGAATGTTCGCGTGCCGACGAGAAACCAGGCGTAAAGGTAGCTTTGGCGGTCTTGTTTCGGGAATCCGGCTCGGAAAGCCTCCCAATCAGCCTCATATTTAGCCTTTTGCTTAATAAGAAGGGACTTTGCCTCTGCAGGAAGAAGTTCTTGAAGCGCCTCTGGCCATAATAATGGAACTGTATTCTGGAAATCCTCCCAAGTGGGTATCACTTTAGACCAAACGAACGAGGCATTATTATGAAGGGCTACTTCGGCGGCAAGAAGGCCATGAATCGACATATCGGGGTCAAGTTTCATAGATATATCGTGAGGAATAGTGTGGAGGCTGCGGATAGCTTCTGTGGGAATCGTCATAATTTCTTCGTCTTTCTGTTGACCTTTTAGCAAAGCCTCGTTGGACGTGCGCATGGTCATCATACCTTGAGATTACGGGTAGCCACCATGCCAATGCCTCGGCCGCTAATAACCTGTGGCGTGACACCGCTGATCTGCACACCATCCTCCCTCGCCTCGTTGAGGTACTCGTCGATGAGGGCCTGCATAGTGTTGAGAACTGTGATGTTGTGCCTGATCTGAGCATGACGCGTGAAGGCTCCAGACGCGTTTGGCAAATGTCACCAGCCGCGTGTTCCAGGCCTTCCGGCTACCGTTGACTTGCTTATATAACAAGGGCTATTCACGCGTTGTACTTCGTCATCATGGAAAAATGGGTGAGTCAAAATGTAGCGCCCGTGTTCCTCGTGCTAGCGTTCGCTTCCTTTTTGGCCGTATTCGGATTACCGCTTCTCCACTTGTGACTTGTCCTAATCAGACTACGACTACAACTGGTTCATAGTTGAGACAAAAGATTCATGAAATTGCCCTTCTTCCAAGTTGGCGGGAAAGGCCGTCACGTTTATGAAAGAACCTCCGTATCTAAATGGTTTCAGGCAAGATTCAACATTAGACCACTTCTCGAGGAAACTCCTCCATCAACAATATAGCCCTACTTGACAGCAATAATTACCTCAGGAAAGTATTTTAGATATGTGCTTTGTGTCAAAACGCTTTTGGTAAATTGGGACTTTGTCTCTTAACTTATCTAAATTGTATATCTCAAATCTTCAAAGATTGGTTCAAGCAATCAGAGGCCAAGGAGTTACCGCCCAACCTAGGACTTTCCTTGACTTCAAATATAAGAACGATATGTTGTCCTTCAAAGGGAACTATTTTTCAAATCTGAACTCCTGGTTACGTTACTAGTAAGAGAGCGTGAAGAAGTCTAGATTGTGTTATTTAGATGCTTGGTAACTCCTTTGGACATATAAAGTATCGACTCCTAAAGATGGGTAAATTTGAACCTGCAGAAGCAAGTTCGCTCTTTGGATAATGAGAAAGAGCTTTTGCTTGTTGCCTTCAAGGATGTATTGAAGTTAAGTGTACGGCAGACGGCCTCCGCCAACTAATACTGGAACCTCCATCGTGGATCTGAGTCCCCAGGCCAGTCGCTCAACAACCCAACAGCCTGAACTTCCTCCGCTAGACCCTCTCTCTTTTTGTTTTCCCTCTTGAGGATCTTCCACAGTATTGTGCAGACAATCACATTGGCAAGAAGATATCCAAGAGCAAATGAATGCCCAACAATGTATCGTGGCCCATCGTTGGCTCTGTAAAGTTGGGTTCCCAGTACCGCGCCGAGATTTCCGATAGTAATCTGCATTGCGTTTCCCACTGCACGTTTGGTCTGTCCAGATACGTTTATAGCAGGCCAGGACAAAACCAAGGCTGTGGCAGGATAGATACCGCCAGCGGCAAAAAAGGTACCCGCGTAGGAAATACCGGGTTTAGCCACTGGGTCGGTGTTTCCGAGGAGAAGGGAATATCCGATCGCGGCAAAGAGGGCAGAACCCGCAATGAAAATAGCTCGCTGATTGAGACGTTCACTGAGTGTGGCAACTGTCAAGGTGGTGATAAAGCCGAATGCGTATGGAGGGATCGTGAGGAGCTGGGCGATGGCAGCTGAGTACCCAAGGTTCTTGATAATGGTGGGCTGTGCGCTAGGTTAGCCAAGAGCTGATACTGTCAATAGTTCTTTTGAACTCACTAAAAATAGAGAAAATGTGTAAAGAGGCAGACTCATAGTGTGAAACCCGAGACCATACAGCCAGCATTTGACATCCGTGAGCGCTTCTACAACTTGCGCCCACTCAAATTTCTCCTGATGTGTTGCATCGCTGTCTGCAGCTAGGCGGGAGTGGATGAATTTTCTTTCCTCGTCTGTAATGAACTTGGCTGTGTCGGGATAATTTTGAATAAACCAATACGCAGCAATGGAGATGAGGACGGTGGCGATTCCTTCGAGGATGAAAATCCAGCGCCAGCCATTGTCCCAGACCACACCCCTCATACGCCCAATACCCTGAAATATGTGAGTACTCTTTCATAATCGAAGCAGAACACAACTGTTCTCCAATTTGTAGACTTACATATGCCAATATGCCACCAAAGGCACCTGCTAGTGAGGCTGCGCTGAAGAACAGTGAGATCCTGAACTGTCGTTCTCGTCGCTGATACCACATCGAGAAATAAAAGACAACTCCGGGAAATAGGCCACTTTCGGTGACTCCAAGGAAGAAACGTGATACCAGAAACCCGGGGAGGTTATGTACCAGACCCATAAGTGTCGCCACCACTCCCCACGCCAATGTCAGGGTTGGGAGCCATATTTGCGGCGTAGTGCGCTTGAGTATAATGTTGCATGGTATCTACCCTTTAATATTAGTTTCATTGAGGCAGAAGCAGACGTGGAAGAGCAGCGAACCTCAAAAATAACGTATCCAATGAAGTAAACAGTGAGACCGGTTAAATACTGATTTCCAGCTAGACATATCTGTTAGCATGAGCTTGCTTCCAGTGAATCAGTTCACACACTTATGCCTATGTCATCGACTAGTCCTTCAAGCCTTGCATTGCCCACTTGATCCTCATGTTAGCACAATCGTAAAAGAGATGTGGATAGAGTCAACAAACCATTGGAACGGTCGAGAAAGGACAGTAGATAGAGGATTCCTACTGCTGGGAGTAGTTGTCCATCTATCTTTCTAAGCAGTGATCTTTCGAAGTCTTTGCTCGCCCCTTCATTGACGTTCTCGAGGACTTCGGCTCCATCTGAGGGTTGGCTTTCTGGTGCCACTTTCTCTATGTTTGAATCTGACATGGTGGAAAACGGTATGCCGGCACGAACTTTGGTAGAACAAGGTAAAAAAAAAAACACATTTCTCGGCTAAGAGTAGTCTGTCACACATATATAACCGGCCCTGCAATTATGTCAACTCCCCTGTAGCTTGCGTTGATGTACATTGCTGTCATCGATAGACGAAGATGATGGTTGTCATCGAATAATGGTCGATCACTACCACTCTGGGAATATCTTTGAGGGCCATCATTGGCTCAAATGGTCGCAATTGGCACTATGAATGGCGAGCTCAATGTAACATGGGGAATTAATCTGACTTGGGGAGATAGGGCCGCGTCTTACTAATGATTAGATGCTACCCCGCGAGATTTGGCCGATTAGGTTTGAGCTCGTGTTTGCTGCCATCCCTTTGACCCCTCAGAATATAATACTGTTACTTCGCTAGCATATTTGGAGGTTGCTGATTTCCTGTTGAGTCGTCCCACCAGAGTGCCAAGCAAGGAAGACAAGCAGACATGGAGAGCTAAGTTACCCTTGGCACAAGTCAAAGGCGATCACTGGCTGCAATACTTGACCATGAAATATGACAGGCCTGGAAATGAATTATTGAAGATTGGGGAGGACGCTGCTCCTGAGAGAACTCGATAATCTCAGAGGATTTATGTGAACAATAGTAGTTCTTTGAGAAATGGTAGGTATCAAAATGATTACCAAAGGCAATTAGTCGACTAATCAGCGTAACCTTCTTCCTATGCTAGAGAATTCCTGTTCATCATCATTAAGATGTTGATAAATATCTTTTTTCCACCTTTCAAGTAAAATCTTTGAGATTTTGCCAGTCCAGTTGTGCGCCACGCCTTCCTAGTTATGTGTCTCCTGGAACGCCGCAGAGCATTTTTGTAACAATTCCTCCTCGATCTCATCTTCAAAATTGATTATATTCTTTGCCCGGCTTATGGCCTCTTTAGCCACTTGCTCTTTGGTTTGCCCCATCTCATGCCGGATCCCGTCAATGTATTGTATGATATCAATAACGTGACTTAGCTCCTCGCTCGTGGCAGCTTCCAGTGTTAGGCCGAAGAGAACGAGAATCGTATTGAGTTTGACTGGATCTTCAGTCTTTAAGAAGGGAATGAACATCCAATACTGAACACAGATTTGCCTGTACCTCGACTCCAGTCCTATATCCAGTGGCTCATTGTATGTCCTCAGGAGCACGGCGGTCATCCGAGGTACAAGCATTTGAAACAGAAATGCGTCAGTTAAGCAGTGAAATGTCAAATTGTTTTCGACGTGATATCTTTTTCCGAGGAAAAAGTCGTGGTCGGCGATTTCTGTAATCTTTCCGTACTCTTCCTGTCTAACTGTCCAGTACTCCGGAAAGCTTGCCTCAATGGAAAAAAGACACTCGTATAGTTCTTCTTTCATTGCCTTGGCCATTTCGTTGCAAGAAACTGTACTCAATTTTGATTTGTCGCAGATTCTTTATCCACTCTACCAAACGCGGGGTGTATTTAACGGTCAACTCTCCCAATTTGGATTGCTCCCCTACAATGTTTCTCACCACCCTTTGCATGATCTGTTTTCAGGGATCGGTGAAGTAGAATTCTGTATCTTTTGGAGACCGGAGAGCCAAACTTTCCTACAAATATGAAGTTAATTATATGGCACGTCAACTAACTTTATCTGACGTAGCACTCCGACGTACAATAATGGCTCGGTTCTCAAATGACAGCATAGCATCCAGCGGATCGTCGGGGTTTGGTAACCCTCTTTCTCGAGTCAAGGTCGCAATCCCTCGCTCTTGAGGTTCTTGGCTTGGCTCGTGCTGCTCGTAGCTCAGGAGCTCTCCGGTCCGGTATAAAAGTGTCGCCGCGGCCAAGGTTTCAACACTCAATGCTTCTGGTCCCTGGATTGCCTTTTGCAGACTGCGGAGCAGCCTTCCGTGATTCTGCCATGTGGTAGGGCTCATCTGCCTCAACCCTTTTTGGTAATCTACCCAAGAACTGCACCAGTATGCAACGGCATCTTGAAGACAAATACTTAGAGTTAGACGACGAGGAATTTCTCGGAAGATTTTTAATCTAAGCTTCACGGTTTCATCGATGTTTGCTCCCATTAAGGAGACCAAGCGAAATGAGATATTATCACTTGTACTCATTAAGGAGGACTGAGTTGTGGGATTCAATAAACGAAATGAACGAAAGGACGAGCCATTTCTTGTCTCCCTCGTAGAGCTGGCCGTGGTCCTGTTGGCTAAGACCAGTCTTCTATCAGACGATATAGCCACAGTCGTCGATGATGTGCCACCACCGGGAAGGGATGTCGAATATTGCCCATCGTCTGGGGTGACTTTGTGACAGTTAATGAGGACAAACTTCGTCAAATTATCTGGACCTGGGCACTCCAGTCCTGCGCGCTTGCATGCTGAACATTGAGGCTATTTTTCATCACACTAGAAAAATCGGTGGGTCAGTAACATGAATTCTCGAGCGTGTTGAGTTGAACGTGAGGTCATACTTTTACTCTCCTGCGTTTACAGGGTTGGCAGTACGGTTTTCGGGGAATGCCAACCATATTCGAGAACAAAATACAGAAGTTCTTTTGTAGGGTCGGGAATGGTCTGAGGCGGGGGAAACCAGGTCAAACCAGGGTCGGCCAACAATTTCAGAATAGCTTCCTCGTCACGCATGATCGGATCCACAGGCAACATTCGTAGAATCACCTGTCCAATCAAAAGCACATCGGCTTGCTTCTCGGATCATCTATACCACCGAGAAATCTCCTGCTGCTGAATGAAAAGATATTGGCGCCTGCGAGGTTTTCACACCTTCATGCCAGAGCAGAATTACTTCAGAAGTAAGAGTCGGTTCTAACCTTGCCGGTGAAATCGCTAGATAATCGACGATAGATTTCGAAGTCTCATGTCACATGTCAGGGAGTGAAATGCTGGTATCTCACACGGGTGAATTAGGAAAGAAATGTGCAATAACAGCTAATTATGCTATTACTACAGACTCTAAATTGCTTCTTCTTTCTTGCGTCATGCCTTCTCCATACATGAATCCATGCAAGTAGGCCTCTCCAATGAGCTGATACTCATTTTCTTTAGACAGCCGCCGGAGAATGAAGGGCGTTCTCCCACCTTCAAGTAGCCATACCTCATCGCCTACCTCGGCTCTAAAGTTACCAATACCAATGTAGTTATTGTTTGTACAGAAGCATACTCTGGCACTCCAAAGTCTGTCCGCCATACCGAAAAGCTGACCGAGGCTGGCTTCACTGGTCTTTTTTGTACGTTTCTCGATAGCATTTGAGAAAGCTACGGCGTCTGGCAACCACTTTGCCAGCTGCAATTGATCGCCCATACTCCGAAGCGATTCTAGGATGGTATTTTGTAGAGGCGGCTTCGAACGGCACGTTGTTACAAAAATGTGCAGCCAAAATCGCTGAAACACATCGGAACATTTTTCCAAAGAGAATAGCTTCGGTATCGAGTCCACTAGAAGCGTTCGAGTAAAGGCTTCGTCAATCGGTTCGCCAGTAGGTTGGTACAACGCTGAGCCGAGCCTCTTGCAGGCACGGATCATCCAACTATAATCCCAGCCTCCTTTACTAGCCCTAGCTAAACAAGGACTGCAATTTGAAAGTTTATCCAGCCTTGTTCCAGCAATAGATAAGCGGGTAGGTCCCTGTAGTATTGGTCGTCGGAGAGGCATGTTGGATGCATCAAACCGAGGAAGACGACCTCGGTTGTTGACAGCGGCTTTGGTCCTGGCCGTTTGGAAGAAATTTGCGGTGATTCTCTTGGAGAAGTCCGGAACCCAGGATGGAAGTCCCGGTATACGAGGCTGCATAGAAGTATTAGTGGCCCTCGTGAGGACCTCCAGAGAAGACATGTGACTGAGAAAATGCCAGGAGATGCTTGAGTAAACATCCACTACTGAGCTGTTGTAATCTGTCTCGAGCTGAAGTTGTAGCCCGTCGCCCGCCAGGAAATTAAGAATGTCGAATGAAACATATACATTGTCTCGGTGGTCGGAAAATTTAAAACTCATCATGATCTGGAGAACGCGGAATGCAGCAGTATAGGCCCTTTGCTGCTCGGTTTGGTCGTATGGGTCTAACTCAACTGAGTCTTTGGTACTAACACTCGGCCGTCTTTCAAATGACTTCCTTGCTCTCTCCGCCTTTCTGAATCTGAGGACGCTATTTCGCACTGCGGTGATGTTGGCCACGGACCCAAAAAGATCACGCGTGCGGTTTGCTGTACTAGTAAAACCGTGTATATAGAGCTCAGAGACTAGGGCTGGGTTCCAATCATCCAAGTGGAGAAGTGACAGGAAGATCCTCAAGTGTAGCCAAGAAGCCGAGTAATATCCAAAGAGAAGAAAGGATTCGCCGTTCTTCGTAAGAGACTGAATAATGACTTCCTGGACTGCCCATCCCCGACGAAACCAACGCTTCTTCCCTAGAAATTCCATGAAAGGAATCCAGGCATCGCGCCATCGACGACAGGCAGCTTGCCCCAGAAGTTCAGTAAATACTGGATCTGTGCACATTGGGTCCTTGCCTTTGAGACTGCCAGGCTGTGGGAATGCCTTGTTGAAGGCAGGTATAAACTCTTCCAGCACCCATCTGACATAAGGATTGGGGACTTCTTTGCCCAACCATATCGGTACTGGAGCAGATTTCAAATAAATTTCTCCCATGATTGACCTATGCCGAATCCTGTCCTCCGTGCTATCCTGGTTGATGGAGACGGCATCGATCCATAAATAATCGACAACGAAGAGACTGGCATCGTGGGCCACCTCTCCTTTTTCAGGCTTATGACTAGCGTGAAACCATTTCGACTGCACGCATTGCTGGAGGAAATCGAAAAGGTTTTGGGTGATTCTGACGCGAATCTGGTTAACCAGAATGGGAATTATGCGCTCTTCAGCGCCGGGTCTATCCGTCCCCAGATTGTCCAAGTCGGCCGATGCCCACGTATAGGACACAGCGCAGTACGTTGGAGGCGAGTCCAAGTCGAACTCGCGAACAGCGAGGGAGAACCCGCCTCTCTCCGAGGGGTCTTTCTGGATCTTGCACAATCGAAACCGCCTTTCGCCTATCGAAGACTTGTACGGCGTGGCGGGGAGCGAACCGCTCGGCTTGTCAGTGACGGCCCGGCCCACCCCGGAGGCGATCTTCACGATGTGGTTGAACATTGCTATATCCTAAAATTACGGAGGAACCATCCAATTTACTTTTCATGAGAGAATTTCTGCTTTACTTATGAGGCGAAGAGATCTTGGGGGATGGTGAAACGCCATCGTCGACAATGGGCGGAGTTGTCAGCTCAAGACCCCTGCACCAGTACCTAATGCGATCTAACATGTTTCAGAGACAACTCTCACTGCGGATTGGTAGACGCCCCGGTACGGAGGTTCGTATTCTGAGGGCTGGATCGTTTTGGGTTTGGCAATCAGGTGAAGGCGCTCAATAGTCGTATTTGCGTAGATCACAGTGTCCCCAAAGGGAAACTCATCATGCGCAGGGAGCAAAACATCACGGGCCGATAAACCCCAAGTGGTGCTACGGCTTACACCAGCTACGACCAACCCACCGGTTCGGTCTGTGCTGTCTCCGTACTGTATCAACCCCTCGGCCGTTGCTTCTTTCGTCTCTCTCTTCTTGGGTAGTCACACGAATATCGACAGATGGCATCAAGATGCCTGGCCAGAGCATCAGCAGCTTGGTCAGTCCCTTTGTACTGACCAAATGGAATCCTACCGAGAGCATCTATCTCCCTTGCATCATACATGGCCCATCCTTAGGTGGAAGCGGGGGTGTTTAAAATGGAGTGTAGCCCTATCTGATGGGATGGTCATTGTGCTATAGGGTGTGATTTTAAGACCTAAATTCTTATCGGCCGTCGGAGCCGTCAGAAGGCATTGTGGCAAGGTAATTGTCACCGTTTGTTCCTCCGAAGTGACAGCCGATGTTATCGCGGGTTCTTTCAACGACACGTGGTTCTCCTTTCGTTGAGTGCATGGCATGTTCGGGACTAAGTCTTATGCCTACGGCAAAGCGAAGAGAATTAGAATATGCGCAGGTATCATTTAGTCGCTTATTTGAATGTGGACCAACCGCTACGTAAGGTAGATGCGAGAAGATGAAAAGCTATTCATGTTGCTAGTGTGGCTTGCCACCAATTGCTTGCAAACGCCTACTATGTTAACCATTGATATATTTTGTGAGAATAATACGTAGAGTGTTGATTGATACCACGTGTCGATTTTTAAAATAACAATTTTTCTTCAGTCTTCCGGATAATTTCAATCAAGCGATGGCGCCTTTTTGTTACCGATGTGTGGTCTTCTGGAAGAATGCGCAAATGCATTTTTTTGGTATTTACAGCATTATCACTCTGCGTCCAAGGCTTCGAATCCTCAGCCGCAAAGTCATCATCCTTATGGATTCTCTACCGGTCAGTGAAGGCCGCATTTACGAATGGTGGCGGCTTACTTTGCATCGTAGGATTGGGTGGTCAGCATGCAAAGCCAGAGCCTACTTGGTCGCCAATCCTTTGCTTCATAGTACCTATCGTACACATGTGATTTCTTTCGGTCTCTGTTGAATTTATACTGCCTTCGAAGCTGCTCCGTTGATGGTTGCGAAATTTAACTTAAAACCCAATATTCATGTCCCGGTGTACGGCTCGGCCTGAAGTTCGCGTGATGGCGAAAATACTTGGCATATTGTTCTATTCACAAGAGAGTACCAGATACGTCCTCAACAGAATAAGGCTGTCGGGCTTATCATCAATATCACTAAATTTATCATGTTATGGTTGTTCAGCTGCCCACTTATGGCTTATAAGTGATAAGTTACCAACCAACCAGATGATTATAGAATCAGCCTCCGCCCAAATAATGACCAATCGACACCCCCCGATGTAAGACAACTGCAACCCTATGCATCATAAGCTATACCCGTATGAGGTGTTTCTTTGCATTGTGTGCCTTAGGTAGGATTCAGAAAACGAGAATAGAAGCTTTTACTTCACAGGTTTTTAAATTGCGGTAGATGAGGCTCGGTAAGGCTCCGATGGTCTTGGTTCGGCCGGAGCCCTGTTGTAGTAGTATATATTCCATGCGACTCTGCGCTCTGCAAATTTTTTGTTCCTGCCCATAGACTCTTATCATTATACCTTATTCATCATTAATTACCCTTGTTAGACGCTAAAATGTCACCAAATTCGACCCAAGACAGTCTACAACACCTTCTCCCTAGTCATGAACACAAGAACACGAAGGACAGCACAGTTGAAACACGCCCACTGCCTCCAAAACTCCTGCATATCAAACGCTCTCTCGTACTCCTTCTAGCCCCATTGATTGTGGTGGGATATTATTGTTTCATCTGGCATTTGTTTATTTGCAGAGATCGGGATGATGCTGTCAACTACGGCACTTCCGGTGGACGGTGGATCTTCTACTCCTGGTTCATCGTCGGTGTTTTTGCTCTTGAATGGTCTAGATATGGCCTTCTCGGAGCCGAGTGTGCCGCCCTTCAATCCAGATGGCTCCGTTCTCATGATATGGTTGGGCTGCTAAACCATAGTGGGAGCACGTGGAGTAACCCGGGAGGGTGGGGGCTTTCCTTCACACGCTTTGTCAATAGTGAAGATGGAAGAAAAGGCTATACCGGATGGTATGGAGTCTTCAAGTCACTCAAGTGGGGTATCTTCAACCCATTGAACTGGCTTGAGGGCATGAAAAGAGTTTGCAGTTCTCTGAAGCACCATAAGCTATGGTACATGCTCACCCTCCTCAGTCTTTCGTTCTATATTGGTCTTCCACTCTCAGGAATAACCATGGAACTCTCCGACGGTTATGTGAAGACGAACTCAAGGCCTGATGTAGTTGGCCGAAAATGGGAAAATATGCATTCTCGTGCCTGGATGTGGTATGCCTCCAACATTGAGGAAGCATGGAAAGTCGGGTCGCCCGCAATTGTTCCAGGCATTGGTATTCTTTATACCGCAAGCTACATTGAACGGGGCAGATACAAGGGCCTTAAAAGTGTCCCAAACACGTTACCGATGGATGATGGGCTACCGGAAATGTTCCTTGCGCCTCAAGGGAGGACCCCTATCTCCGGGAGAACCTGGGGCTTCCGATTATCCTACAACTGCTCTATTATTGAAAAGCAGTCACAGTTCACCCTTCTCACTGATCGGGGCGCTTCGGCGAAACAACAACCGATACAACACCTAAGCTCGCCAAAGTATTCTCATAACGTGCATGGCTACGTGGAGGTCGCATCTCGAGAAGCTTTGTCATATGAAGCGCCGAGTAACTTTGATCCGGAGGCTTCCTCACAGTGGGATATAATTGAATATGTCCTATGGCAGCTAAGGATCCCACCTTCTTATTCCAAGTCAGAGGTCAAGAATTTCAATAGCAAGCTCGAGCCTGTGATTCAAGATATGGAATCGCCGTTTGAAAGGTCAGTAAACGGATCATGGAACCTCAACAATACCTACTTTGACCAGCCAGGGAAGAAGACGAAATACTTCGACAAGGAGACAAAGATGTCGATAAATCTCATGGAGGCTCTTCCGTCCTTGTTGAAGCGAACCATGGAGCTCGCGCCTCCTATTGGACTGCGATGCTTGGCAGTGTCAACATTTGGAGATGCCAATCTCGACCCAAGGACTTCTACTTTCAGCTCCTTCGAAGAGCGCATCCCTGAAACGTACCTTAAGTCCAGTGGCGAGCCTGAGGTACCTGTATCAAGGCTGGGGGTCACAGTAGCAACGATTCTATCCAACAACTACATAGACCTCTTTTCTTCTATTAATTCCCGTACTATGTCATCCTATTCTAACTCCATAGTCTATGGAGGATTTGTTACCCCCCAAGAACTACAGAAGTCTGCCATGCTAGCATACGGAACTGAGGCACTACAGCTGATGTACGATGGCAAGTACGGATTCGAGGGGAGCTGGATACACCCGAATCTATCATCATCTGTCGAGAGCAAGATTATAATCAGAGGGGAGGTCCACGCCTTATCTGCGGTCATACCATTCTGCATTTGGGCACTAGGCTCGATCCTCTTTGCTCTGTTCTTTGGCTTCAGAAGACGGCGAGGCGAGACCTTGGATGGGTTCAGTTTCTACCGACTTGGCGCACATCATAGCTCTCAGCTTAAAGCAGATGATAATTTCTTTACTGCGCAGGAACCCTACCAAGTTGGCACTCTATGGAAGCTAGAAGGGGAATCGTGGGCGTGGTAGATGATACGGTGGTTGCTCTCAATGAGGCTTCGGCAAAGTCTAAAGTTACAAATACACAATCGTGATCCTCTCCGGCGAACGTAGTTCACTACGTCGCCCGAAAGAGAAAACATTTCAATTTTCTAGTTGTTTAGGTTAGCCGAAAATTTTTTTCTTATACACGTCATTTAATCATTTCTTCATGCTTGTGTTGGTAGTGATACGAAGTTTAATATTCCGGGCCGACATCAATCGAGGACCATCTAAGCCCATATAAGTCTTCACCACCAATTAGAGATCCTCTCAAGAAATCATCAAGCCATCCTGCCTCGGTCGTAGGGCTTGAGAATAGAGTTAGGCCCGGGAAATCCCATTCAAAAACGAATTGCTCCGGCACGAAAGACTCAAGTTCATTATGCCCAGCCGAGTCAACACTGGTATCTCCGCCGCTACTATTTCCACTCCCATTTCTCTGCCTGCTCGGCGTGCTAGTACCAGTTTGGGAATGCGATAGGTTCTCATGAAGTACTGTCCGGCTAAATTTCTCCAATCCCGTTTGAATCAATTGGATGTATAAGCGGCTAGTGTTACTCCGGCCGCCATTGGAGTTTCCGCCTGCTTTGTGCAGCTCAGAGAGCAGCATCTTGCCTTGTAGAACGAGAGTCCTGTTCTGTTCCTCATCATCTTCGACCAGGAGCATGGACAGCTTAAGAAGCAGTAAGAAGCAGAATGCACATTTGGCCCACACGAAGTCCATTGCGAATTTCAAGTTGTGTAGATATTCGCGCGGCTCTTCGATCATGATGCTCAAATGCTGGTTTAGAGAATCCTTCGCCATGAGCAAAATGTTCCGCTGCGTAGGAGACATCGCGTCGACGTTTTCAACCCCAGAGACACGGACCGCGCGGCAGAAAGCCATCGTATCGGCCCAACAGCGCTGTACACGAAGATGGAGCGCCAGCCAACGCTTATTGGAATGAGAGCGCTCAACAATACGCATCCAGTCATTGAACCAAACGTCAATGTCAATTTTTGCATCCCGGATCACGTCCATGAGATCCTCATCTGGCAGACTGGAGCAACCGGATAGAGTTGCGTACGTTGATGATCGGAGGACATTCAGCTCAACCTGGGAAAATAGATGTAGGTCCAGTGCCGTTGAATATGGGCTCTCAAGCAGAACTCTACATCGCCGAACAGCTCCACGGAATTTCAGAGTAAGAAGGTCACTCGCGTCGACATGCAGCATATGGCTCAGAACAATTAGATGGAGCCAAGTCCGAGCTTTTCGCATGAGAATCGCGTCATCCTCTGTTGTCTCCAACGGCGGATCACCACTCCATGAAGTTCTTGATACAAATCGGGTGCTTAGTTCTTCGTAAGCCTCCGGTAAGCCAAGGTCGATGGCGAGCCGTATACCCAAGGTAACTAGGAGTGACCTTTCTGACGCAAAGCAAGCCCTTACGAGAAGGGCTTGCACAGTTTCCAGTGTGGCTTTGGCTGGAGTGGCAAGGACAGCATTGAGGACTCTTTTAATATGAAAATTAAGTAAATGCCACGCATTTGAATCCGTTCCTTTGAGAATTCTGCAGCCTGCAGCACAGATAGAGCTGAATAAAAGCCCACTTCGACTTCGAATGCCATGCATAGAGTCAAACCTTGGGTCAAAGACTGGGACATATTGGTCGCAACCTTGGAAGAAAGTTGCAAAGTATGATTCTGCCTCCTCCATTGAGATGAGGCCCATACTAGCAAAATCGGGTGCCACAATGGGTTCTATTTCAAAATGGGACCTCTTGCGTTTTCCCGTGGAGGTGGCACATGACTGAAACGTCGTGCTGGGCGAGCTGTTGTTCTGCTGCAACTGCGATCGGTTAAACTCGACTGGTGAGCGTGTAGTACTGAACGCTCCTGAAGACGCCAAAAGACTTCCTCCGGGAGGCTGCATCTGAGGCACCGGAACATCCATAGGAGGGGCACTGCTGGGTCCCGGGATGCTAAAGGCAGTATCATGCTGCACTTCCGTTGTTTGCTGATACACCTGAATCTGAGCTCTTAAGGCATCCAACTCCTTTTCGAGGGTCTCTATCTTTCTATATCAACATATGATCAGCACTGCTTGAGAATGTTTGGGTAATGAAGCCAACATACCGCTCCTGTTCGTCTTTCGGAGGTTCAGTGAACACGCAAACCTTCTTCAGGCTTCGACATCTTCAGGCAAGTTAGTAGCACTCCCAGTCAGGGCACATCTAGGCGTTACATGCCGTGAGCATGGTCGTTGGCCATCGCATTTGACCTAAAAGGAGCGTTAGTTTGCTGTTTTCAAGAGCAATACCCATGTAAAAACGGATGATGGACTTACTTTGGATTGTCGACATGATCCACAAGCTTTCTATATCACGCTCTGCCGTTAGCCAACACTAACACGCAGTCTCCGTCTCGAACCACTTACTGGGATCCTCTTCTTCCTTATCTTTTGCGGAGGGGTCGACCCTGAGAGCTGTTCGTCTTCCATTTCTTCAATTCCCATGCTTATCACAGACATCCCAGGACATGAAATGATCCCCGTTCGTCTCCCTCCAAATCGATAAGGGGCGACGAGGCACTGTCGGCTCCCAAGTCCGGGTTCTCCAGGATCATATAAAGTGGATAAGAGTCGAGGTCGGAGAAAACTCTGATGAGTCCGACACGGCTCAGTTATCCTCGGCATCCTTCCGACCAATTATAGGGCTGCAATCCAGGAAAACGGGTCTGGGGCCCCAGATGCAACCCAAAACTCCGTTTTCTCCGACCGCTGCAGGAATTTCACCCGCACATGACTCCCCATCCGGGGAGCCATATGGGGGAATTCTCTCCTAGTAATTCAGACACGATGAAGGTTATGTAATAGGGCAAAGGTGCCATCCTGTGCGCCGGTCACGACTGTCCGTTATTCGCGCATTGCGGAAAAGATTGATTGCTTCGTCCTCGTCGGAAAAAGCTCGGTAGTATCGGGGCAATTGGCATTTCTCCTCGAGAGCCAGGACATGACTTGAGCTCGGAGCCTCAACCTAAAAGGAGCCAAGAAAGCTCTTTCCAGATCATACTTGGTTGTTTACTTTCTCAACGAATGTCTTTTTCTGGATATGAAAATCTTTTGATTGGTATTTGAGGACACATGAAAACCCATGCCTCGTGTAATATCGTCAACGTCTTAGAGCCTTCCTGAAAGCAACGACTAATCTATCTACGATTCATTGCCAACAAACTTCACTGGCACATCAATTAGCTTTTTGATTTCGTTCAAGAAAAACCGAAAGACTTATATCGCTATCTTAGGAAAAGTGGGGAAAGACAAAGCCGAAATAAAACATGACGGCAGCTGTAAGATTTGGCATCATCATCATCAGTCTAGGGTAAGTAGCGCTTGTTGGCATCAGGAATTACCTTCGATTTTGCTTCCATATGACACGCTCAATACTCATCTTCGCGTACGCCTACATGACTACGATTTAAGGAGAGCTTATAGCACATCGTGGGGCGACTCACAGTTAAAATTTTTAACCAGGCTTTCTATAGCAATGTCAGCAAGATATATATATTTACCCGAACAACTGGCAACGTTGGCGCCTCGTTCTACTTGACTCTTACAAAGAAATCGCTATCATTCGGGCCGTAAGTAGCAGTTCATGGACTGGAGCTTTTGAGCTTCTAGTTGATTTCCAGAAGTATATTTCTTTGGTGGATCGATGAAAGAAAATTCTAGTAGTACCAAGGACACTACAATTTGATGACGTTATGCTAGAGCATCCGTCACGACGCGTAGTAGTCGGGAGATTCCGGCATACGGATATATTTAATTATATCGAGGCTAAGACGAGAGGAGTTGTCATTTCATAGATTGATTGAATTCAGTCATCATGATATCTCACGGACGGCCGCGTTCGGAGAGGAAGCAAACCTCCGAATTGCAGATCCCCGGATTTCGGTGGGAATAAACGCTTGGCCGAGTGTCAGGGGATGTCGGCTAGCGATCGTTGGTTTTCGATTGGCCCTCAGGGCCATTAATTGGAGATGACATCTCCACTATCGGCGCAAGGAGTTGGAGATGGAAACATTCATAAAGCTGGGCAATCATCCGGATTGCTGACTCCTGCCAATGTGCACACCTATCGCCAGATGACATGAGGTTGATTGGCTCCCGTAAGCTACGAAAATGATCAAGTCACGAGAGGATCATGCCCAGGCTCCTACGCTGCCTACAGAGCGGCGGGAGACGCTCCTCGACTGGGACGGCCCTTCAGATCCAGAAAATCCACGCAACTTCCCTTTGGCTCTCCGCATGTTCACAACCGTAACGGTCACAGTTTTGGCATTGGTGAGCGTGTTTGCAGGCGCAATATACGCACCGGCTCAGACTTATGTGAGGGCAGAGTTTGATCTGTCTTACGAAGTTGCTGTGTTGCCTCTCTCCCTCTACAACCTCGGTCTGGCCTTCGGTCCAATCATTGGCGCTCCATTGTCCGAGACATATGGTAGAAAGACCGTGTTCGTCATCACTACTCCTGTTTTTATTTTCTTTATGATAGGATCTGGGTTTGCAAAAAGCATTGATGCGCTCAACATATGCCGGTTCTTCGCTGGTATGTTTGCCTCGTCGAATATCAGCAACGCCTCAGCCACCATGCTCGACTACACGCCCGATCTCCGCCGAGGACTTGTTCTTGGCATTTACTATTGCATCCCTTCCTTCACGGCTACACTGGCACCTCTCATCGGTGGATTCGTCGTGGTGGCCAAGGGCTGGCGATGGACGCAGTGGACAGCGATCATGGTTGCAACCGCCGCTTACATCCCTATTCTTTTCACTAAAGAGACCTACAAGAAGGTAATCCTTCAGAGAAGGGCTATTCGTCTAGGCCTCGAAGACTCAGCGTCGCAGCGAGTCTCGGTCGGAACAGCTGTGCGCCACTTCTTCACCACGTTGATCCAGCGGCCGGTTCACATGTTATTAACCGAGCCCATTGTGACCTTTGTTAGTCTATACAATGGGTTTAATTTCGGTCTACTCTACGCATTTGTCATTACTGTGCCTTGGATGATGAGGACGTACTACGACTTTGATAAGACGAGCGAGTCGCTCTCCTACCTTGGCATGACGATAGGCACCTTGACTGCCTGTCTACCTTTTACTCTAATTGACACTTTCATCTATCAAAAGCGGTTCCTAGCCTGGCGTGAAACTCATTCGGCATCTGAGAAGTTCCCGCCCAAGTATCGGCTCTTATCCTCTATGGCGGGTAGCATTCTACTGCCACCCAGCTTGTTCGCAGTGGCATGGACGGTCCAGTACCGCGTCCACTGGATCGTGCCAATTCTATTCCAGGGATTAAGCATGCTGAGCTGCATGCTGGTTTACGCCGGCGTCAATCTTTTCATGCTGGATTCTTACGGACCCCTCTACGGGGCTTCAGCATCGGGAGCAGTGCAGCTTAGTCGGTATATTCTCAGTTTCGCATTTCCCTTGTTTGCGCTACGTATGGCCGAGGGTCTCGGTGCCGGCTGGTCGACATCCTTGCTGGGCATTTTCACAGTGCTGTTGGTGCCTATCCCTTGGTGCTTCTGGAGATTTGGCGACTGGCTGAGGGAGCACAGCAGGTATGAGATTAGTGACTAGAAAAGAGCGGTTATAGATTTTATAGAATAGGGTACTGGTGATTAAAAGCATATGTGTATTACTGCCCTTGATGCCTTTCCCTGTAGGTAGTGTACGCCTCAAGGGTGATCTATCGAAAATCGGGCGTTCAAATTAATACTACTATTACTTGCTGAGGCCGAGATCCTTGATGATGATATCCGCAGCCTTCTCACCGACGGCGATGGCCGTGTTGTTCGTATTTGCGCCAACATTCTGCGGGGGGATACTCAAGTCCGCCAGCTTCAGTCCCTTGGTGCCCCAGACATTCAGACGCTCATCTACCACGCCGTTCTCCTCACGGGGAGCCATCTTGCAGGTAGCAATCGAGTGCCATGTAGTTCCCACATTCTGTCGGATCCATAGTTCAATTGCCTTGTCGTCCTCGGCAGAGTACTCGACATCCTTGACGTTGGACAGGGCCTCTTTCAGGTCCGCCGACGCAGCCTTGGAACCTTCGGGCCATGCTGGGTGACCGGCCGCGAGCTCGCCTCGGTACATTGCGGTTCGGCGCATGATCTCACGCATCTTCTTGTAGGCCCACAGTTGCTTCTTCAAGTCGATGTCGTGCTTGTCGTTGAGGTATCCTACATCAAAGTCTAGCTGGTCGTCGACTTCGGGACCTGTGATGTGCATATGGCCTCGAGAGTACGGGTAAGCAGTGTAATTACCAACAGTCACATACTGCTCCTCTGGTACTGTCGAAGGGTCACCCAGGAAGCTGTGGACAGGTTAGTGGCGCTTCCTTTCTATACGACAGCGGGTTTCTCACCAAGAAACAAGACCCATTAACATCAGAGGTCGGGTGGGAGCGTTCTTGAAGTCTCTATCCCAGGCATTCTTGAACTCGGGACCAAGAGCAGCAACCTCAGCTTCTGTAGGTCGAAGCTTGGAGGAAATGTCGATGGAGTTCCAACCCAAGAGTTCATCCTTTGAGTCGATCATCTCCTGGCGTTTATGAGGGTTTCTGAGAACCCTGTCAATAGTCTCGTTGGGCCCAAGTGACGTCTTAAAAGGATACAGGATAAGTTGGTGATCCTGATACTCATGACCTACGCCGGGCAAGTCGACCTTGACGTCAACGCCAGCCTTCTGAAGAACCTTGGGGTCGCCAAGACCAGATCGCTCCAGCACTGGCGGTGTACCCAAGGCACCACATGATACCACGACAAGCTTTCTGGCCTTGACCGTCAATTTGGGGTGCTGAGTAGGGCCAGTTACGGGCTGGAAAGCAGAGTTGGGGGTGTACTCGACACCAACAGCTCGCTTGTCCTCGTCAAGCAGGACGCGAACAACTTTTGACTCAGTGAGGACATGGAAATTGGGATATTTGCTGTTGTCAATCTTGTCATGGATATAGGCGGTGGCAGTGTCTTGTCGTCTACCGTCTTTGGAAACGTACCGCAGCCAGCGCTCCACACCGTTGTTGGCCTTTAAGTTCTGCAGATCTGTGATCTCAGGCCAACCGACCTCGGTTGCTGCTTTAATGAAGTCGCTTTCAGAACCCTTGGAACGGAACGTGCCGTCCGTGACTTGAACAGGCCCATTGGAGCCGTGATCTTCAGGGTTACCACGACCGTGGTATGTTTCAAGCTATTGGGTGGGGGTAATTAATTAGCATTGGCTCTAGCTCGAAGGACAAAATGATGAAGTACAATACCTTCTTCAGAAAGGGGAGCATCTCATCGGCGGACCATCCAGGCGTCTTCCAAGAATCAAAATCTGCTCCCTGGGCGCGAGTGTACATCATGAAGTTGATGGACGAACCTCCGCCGAGAGTTCCACCGCTGGGAACAATTGCTTCACGGCCTGCTAACTGTTCTGCCTTGTTACCCTTGTAG